GTAAATCTGGGCAGTTTACACAGTGACCGAAATCCCATCAAAATAAATAGTAAACGAACTCCAAAAATTCTAAATTTTGGATATATCATAAAAAGCATCTTGATAAACATTTCTTATGAGGAACACGAAATCCGCTTCAATCTGTAACCAAGTCTTTTTGTCCCTCGAAATCAGACCAAATTCAGTTCGCTCTAACAGACTATTTTGTCCTCAAAATACATTTCTTTCAACACCCAAATCACCTTGAAAAGCTTTGAAATTTTTATATGTCATAGAAAAGAAAGTCACCAACAAATTTTGTGCAGGAAGTTTATTGAAAATAGATCTGGAAAAGTTTATAAAAATTCAGCAAGACAAGAAGGTCGGTATGAACAGTGTTCCGGGCAGTTTTAAGACGGTCTGAAAATGGGTTTTCGTGCGACCCAAATGGCCTCTAAAAATTCCAAATTTAAAATATGTTATACCTCAAGATGTTGGGAGAAACTTTCATGAAGAAAACTTCCTCAAATTCGGCTCACAAAATTCTTCACAAAAATAGCAAACCGGACGGGTACAGTAGTCACGAATCCGAGTTTTGAACTAAACAACCAAGATTCAAGTTCTAGCTCACACCCATGGATCTCCAACCCATAAAACTCATTCCCAAATGTCTAATCCAACATGCAACAGCCACTAACAGCCATGATCAGCCACCAACAGCCACGATCAGCACCATAATCAACCCCTAAACTACCCTAAACCGCGTCTAAACGAGTCCGATAAATACCGATGTCCTAGACAAGGGCTAGATTGCGACTTACTTGGAAATTTCCAAGCAAAATCAACCTATCCAAGGTTGACTAGGCGGTTGGAACGCGGCGGCTACGGCGATGACCTTGCAATGGCGACGATCGGCAACGGCGGCGGTGCGGCCAAGGGGAGAGGGGCGATCGGCAGTGAGGGAGAGGAGAGTTGCCGAGAGAGAGGGAGAGAAATGAGAGGGGGAGAGAGAGAAATTGGTTTAAAAATCAATAATTGAACCCCTTTATGCAAAATGACCATCTTGCCCTTCTCTCTACTTTTCAATCAACGGCCGAGATTCGTTCTTATCCTAAGATCGACGGCCGAGATTGAATCTTTTCAAAAAATATCCAAGAGTAATTTGGGAATTTCATAAAATTCTAAGGGCAAAATTGTCCAAAAATTGTCATTTCTAAAGTTAGGGCGAAATGACCAAAATGTCCTTCCCCAATAACACTTGGCCTTAACAAAGCTCCAGGGTTAAAACGGTCATTTTTCATCCTTCGCCGAAATTCAGTTTTTCTGAAGGATTCGGACAATTCCAAGACTGAACATTCCAATAACAACATCGTCCAAATGTCCTGTAGTGACTTCCTAAATTTTTTATGCCCAATTTGGTCTCTAATTAATAACTGAATTTTATATAACGTAACTTGAGCGTGTCTCAGACTAACGGGCGGCTTTTGGGGAAATTCGCATATTCGACCCGTGACTAATACTAAATCAAGTCATGTGCAAGTTCATTCGGATCGTGACGACCTCGGTTGTCAATGTAATCGCGAGGATCGATCGCTAGTTCCGACGGGCGCGATCATTCGGTATAGGTTCTGGATCGTTCGTCAACTCACCTCGTGGTCAAACGGAATCACCCGTGATCCACTCATATGACAATGACGAACCGGCCCATAACTATTCTAAGATCGGCCTACATTGGCTCAAAATGTCACCTCGACAATTCTATGGTCGAAAGTCAGTTCACGACCGAATTTCTTTAGTTGCACGAATTTAAATCCCTAATTAGCCCTTCCCTAACGGTTAGTATCCCAGGAATGATCAGTTTCTAGCGAGACATAACTACAAGTACGTTCATAAAACCACTCAATTCATAAATCTCAAATGGGCAAATTTCAGGATGTCACAGCTCCCAATGGAGTCGTCAGCAAAAGGCCTTTAATAACATCTCAAACAAAGGAATAAATACCAAATTGCAGATGTTGTTCCTTTGCAAGCAGGGCCGCAGTCTCTGTGCAACCATATGCTTTTCTGAATATGTGCACAATTTTGTATTCCTATAGATCTGTGAGCAAATTCCTACATTCAGCTAGATGCGGCTGGGCGAGGCTCGACCTCGCTAGATTATGTGAAGTCGAGCCTCGTCAGAGGAAGGCGAAAGGGAAGAAAAAAAACCGAAAGAGAAGAAAAGAAAAGAAAAATCGAAAAAATATTAACATATTATTAAAAGTTAATTACGTCAGCGCCAACAGTGCCACGTAGGCTGCCCGGTGTCCACGTAGGTAATATCCGGCCAAAATTAGCTGGAAGGATTGAATTAACACTATTTTAAAAGTTTATGACTGAATTGGCACAAAAAAAAGGTTTAGGACTAAATTGACACAAATGCAATAGGTTTATGACTTTTTTGATACTTTTCCCTATGTTTTTCATAAAACATTAATATTTATTCAAACAATGTGTCTTTCAATATACTTCTAAACGAATAGTGTCTTTCATGTTCAAATTAAGAGTTGATTTATCTATTTGTACTTTCTCATAAAATCAAAATTTACGAAATGTACACATACCCTTAATTCTTTCTACTAAAAACTTCTTCTATGGTTACAAAAAAAGAAACCTTTGATTCATAGATTCAAGACATTTTTTCACATTTAACTTAATTTAAATTGAGGACACCCATTCACCTTGCCTCCTTCAATATATTTAACTTCTCAATTTCCATCGCACTTTTGCACCAATGATCTGTTTATTCTTCGTAGTAGATAACTCTCTTTGTTTCTCTCTCATTCGTGCGCATGCGCACATACAATTTTTTTTCTTCCATGCTTTATTTTTATCTAAAAATTGGTGCAGTACTTCCTGTAATGTCTTTATTTGATGATTCTGAGTGCATGTCAATTTATTTCAATAGTATCATATTATCTTTCATCATTTTCATTTCAATCATGTTGATATTTTTTTCGATTTTTTTATTTTAAAACGAGTGTATCTCATTTCATACCGAAAAAAAAATCAATGAAGTCGTGAAAAATTTGGTAGATAACTAATTCTTGCATTATTTTTTTATTTTCATGAGAAAATATTAGTTTCCATCTTTTTCATAGAGTTCTTCTTTTAAATAACATAAATATTGTTAATTTATTAACGCTGAAAGTCAAATAAATAATCTTCCATATGCTCAAGAAAATTTGATGTTTATGAAGTTTTAAAAATATATATATGTGGTTTTAATGTGTGCACACACAATACGTTTTACTAGTAATCTCAACTATATGTTAAACATTGAACTATCCATTCTTTTTGGGCAAAAGGACACTATAAGTGCCATAAGTTGTGTACGGAGATCACTTTGGTACCATAACTTTTTTTCGGATCACTTTGGTGCCAAATCGGTGGAAAAGAGATCACTTTAGTGACTCCGGCCAAAATTTCGGCCAAAAAAAGAGCCACGCCAGATTTCCGGCAAGCCATGTCAGCATCGGAAATTAATAAAAAAAGAGCCACGTCAGATTTCCGGCGGCCATGTCAACATTGGCACTAAAGTGATCGTTTTTCAAAAAAGTTGGCACCAAAGTGATCCGAAAAAAACTTATGGCACCAAAGTGATCTCCGTACACAACTTATGGCACTTATAGTGTCATTTTGCCCTTCTTTTTGCCATAAAACACCGAACTATCTTACTTGATTTTCCTAGTAACACAAATTGATTCGATAAAAACATGAGAAGTTTTTTTTAACTTATCTTGCTAAATTTAGGACGTACAACGTAAATTAACCCTTAAACCCATCTATTAATAGCCTTAAACTAGTGGAAATCGTAAAATTATCCCAATCCCAATGCTTAGGCTAGTTCAACTGGTTTGTCACAAGGAAGAAAATTCTTTGTTGATTTTTGTCGAGTTTGGCATTTTTTTCTTCTTTTCTACGCGAAAAAGACGGGATATGTCATTTCACAGGTAAGTGGACAGTGCCAATAATACTGGTGATGAATGGTGAAGCACGGCACAAGAAAATATAGCTTTTGACATATGATGCCTTTATCTTGCTTGGACTCTTGACTCTCCCTGCCATTTTCAAGAAAATATCGTCTGCTCTTTGGACAGGTAGATGGGCTCTACAGTAGATTCTAATTGAGATGAAATATGTAAAATGATTTAAATTTGTTACTAAGCCTGTACGCAAATTGTGTCAGATGCATAATAGCGCACGCGATATAATTAAGAGAGAAACTTCACTAATCAAAAATCAATATGAAACAATGAATGAGAAAATGAGTCTTAAACTTGATGAATCCCAAAACAAAGCGACTTTTTTGGTGATAATTTCAAGTGAGGTAGGGAGAGAATAGATGTATAAGTGAGTTTACAGCGAAAGAGACACGGGCCCACCTATAAAAATGGACTTATTGATGAAAGTCCGCACAAGCAGCTCATATGGATGAACAAACAACGTTGAACAACCTCTGTACTTGAAATTACGCCTTGAAGCTGTGAGTCAAAATCAAACGACATGAATAATTTTACATGGGAGCTTGTTGCCAATTTCCAATAAGTCACCAAAAGAAACGAATGGATATTATATCGAAAGTATAACAGAGAAATATAGATAAAAGGGGACAATGCCAAGCCGCTGTGCTCGTGCTCTAGATGATAAAACAAATGTATATAGGTCTAACATCGTGCAGTTTTCAAGCCCATACAGAAGGCATACATAAAATCCATGAAAAGTAATGGGGTCAAGCACTTTGAATGGCCAAGTGGCAAGATATATCCATTGACAGAACGAATTGTTGCTGCCTATAAAAAGCTTCTCCGTTGCATTCTCCCACGAAAACTCACTTCAGTAACCAAAAGAACAAAACACAAAAGCAGAAAAATGTGGCAACCTTATCATTATATTTGCTGCTTACTTGGATGTTCCTACTCTCTCTCTTTCATACTAGGCTTGCGGAGGTATCATGTCATGCGGATGAGAGCTCTACCTTAATGGAATTCAAGAGAAGTTTCAGAATCAACACGACAGATTGGCGATGCGTTTATCCAAAGGTCCACTCTTGGTCTCTAGATGGAAGTGGAGATTGTTGTTCGTGGGACGGCATCGAATGTGATGAGGTCACCGGCCGAGTGATTGCCCTCAATCTCAGTAAGAGTTGTCTCTTGGGCACCATGAGTCCCAACACCACTCTCTTTCGACTCGTTCACGTGGAGTCGCTCAATCTTGCTTACAACAGCTTCGACTTCTCCCCAATCTCATACGGCTTCAGCAATCTTTCGAGGTTACAATGCCTTAATCTCTCCCACTCAGATTTTTCCGGTGAAATCCCTCACGATATCTCGCAGCTATCCCGGTTAGTTTCTCTCGATCTGTCCACTTCTTGGGACGTGACACTTCATTTGCCCAACATGGGCCACTTTGTCCATAATTTGACTGGGCTAAAAGAACTTTTTCTTTATTCCGTAAGCTTGTCATCCCCTATCCCTCCTGTGCTAGCGAATTTCTCTTCGTTGACATCACTTGAGCTTGGATTTTGTGGATTGAATGGAGACTTTCCAGTCAGCATTTTTCAGCTGCCAAACTTGGAAGTCCTTGACATTTCTCTCAATCCCAACCTTTCTGGTTTTTTTCCCAAACCGCATTGGGGTTCTCCATTGAAATTGTTATACCTTTCCCAGACCGACTTCTCGGGAGAAATACCCGCTTCGATTGGAAATCTTGGTCTCTTGAATGAGTTAGACGCTAGCGACTGCTCTTTTTAGGGACTTCCCTCTTCATTGGGTAATCTTTCTCATCTCACTGCACTAGACCTTCGCAGAAATGGGCAAAAGAACACTACAAGTGCTATAACTTGTGTACGGCGCCCACTTTGGTGCCATAAGTTCTTTTTGGATCACTTAAGTGCTAAAGTTTTTGAAAAACGATCACTTCAATGCCAACTCCGGTGCCGTACACAATTTTTCGCCGGAAATCCGACGTGGCATTTTTTTTATTAATTTCTGAAGCTGACGTGGCTCGCCGGAGATTGGCACTTAAGTGATCGTTTTTCAAAAAATTTAGCATTTAAATGATCGTTTTTAAAAAATTTTAGCACTTAAGTTATTGTTTTTCAAAAATTTTAGCACTGAAGTGATCCAAAAAAACTTATGACACTTAAGTGATCGTTTTTCCTCCGACTTGGCACCAAAGTGATCCGAAAAAAAGTTATGGCACCAAAGTGATCTCCGTACACAAGTTATGGCACTTATAGTGTCCTTTTGCCTGCAGAAATGACTTGCTACATCCAATCCCTATTTCCGAGCTTGGATATTGTGGATTGAATGGAGACTTTCCGGTTAGCATTTTTCAGCTGCCAAACTTGGAAGTCCTTCACATTGAAGGCAATTCCAACCTTTCTGGTTTTCTTCCCAAACCGCATTGGGGTTCTCCATTGAAATCCATAAACCTTTACAATACCAAATTCTCAGGAGAAATACCCTCTTCGATTGGAAATCTTAGTCTCTTGAATGAGTTAAACGCTAGTGAGTGCCATTTTTCGGGATCACTTCCTTCTTCATTGGGGAATCTTTCTCATCTCACTAGACTAGTCCTTCGCGAAAATAACTTGCAAGGTCAAATCCCTGTTTCCTTTGCTGATCTTACCCAGCTATCGCAGCTAATCCTCTCTTACAATAACTTGAGTGGTGATACTTTGGAGTGGGTGGTCAACTTGACAAAACTTACCGACTTGGAAATTTCAGGTAATAGTTTCTTCCTCTCTACCGATTCAGTTGGATCTCTTTCCTTCTCTCTCTCTGCAACTCCATGGTATCACCGATCTCTCCAGGTCCACCGCCGCTCGCTCCCTCCCCGACCACCGCCAAAACCGCAGCCGCAACGACCACGAGCGAAACCAGAGACAGGGACTTCATCCTCCACCTCGATGCCTACCTCGCCAATCCTCTCCTCCTCCCTCCTGCCCGAAACCCTACCCCTCCATCGATGACCGCCACTCATGTGTTCTGTCGAAGATCAGCGCATGGGCGGAGTTCGTCGGGTACATTGGGAGCGTGAATCTGAAAATTAGGGATTTGAGGAGGTTGCGGGAGGACGAGACGTGCGTCGAGTAGAGCATCGAGATCGCGACGTCGAGGGGGATCAATTGCGAGGAGGAAGAGTTGAAGTTGAGGAAGTTGTGGGAGAAGAACTTGATGAAGAAGAAGCTGTCGGTGGTTCAGGACCTGGCCGAACTTGCCAAGCCGGAATGCCTTCCGGCTCAGGCCGTCGCTGGACTCGAAGCTCTTGAGGCGGCGATAGTGGTTTTGCTTGTGGCCGTTGCGGCGAGGGTTTCAGTGGTGGTCGGGGAGGGAGGCAACGGCGGTGGAGCGCGAGAGATCGGTGGTTCCATGGAGTTGGAGAGAGAGAGAGAAGGAAAGAGATGCGACCTGAACCGGCAGAGAGGAGGAGAGGGAGAGAGACTTTTCCAATTTTTCTGATAGTGGGACCCACAGTGCCACTTTTCGTCCACTGAGTGGGCTGGTGCATAGATGACGTGGCGTCACATTTGCTCCTAATATCCTCAATTGCGGTTAGTCCATGGTGTAACTAACGCTCCTCTTGTATTCTAGCAAAAAAAAACTAACGCTCCTCTTGTCTTGTCTTGTTTTTTCTTTCTGTTTGGTAGATAATCGGCTAAGCGGCGGACTTCCATCTTCATTTGAGAACCTGAAGCAATTGGCTTTGCTCAGCCTTTCTCACAACGACTTGCGCGGTGATATTCCAAGTACATTGTGGAATCTCAAGGATCTTGAAGGGCTTTATCTGAGGTCGTTTAATATCAATGGCTCTTTCGATTTAAATGATATATTCAAACTCAAGAACTTGAGAGATTTAGATTTGTCCTTCAACAATATATCATTCACCAAGTCATTCATCAATGCCACTACATCGAAGCTTGCCGCCTTAATCTTGGATTCATGCAACTTGACTGAGTTCCCACAGTTTATAGGCTACTTAAGCGAATTGGTGCGGTTAGACCTACCACACAACAGAATCCGAGGGACCATTCCTAGATGGATGTGGAACAATAGCAAAGAATCTCTCTGGTATATAGATCTTTCTCACAATCTTTTAACCGGCTTCGAAAACAACCAGACTAGTCTTCCTTTGCCGAAGTTGGAATATCTTGACGTTAGTTCTAACTTGCTAGAAACAACCCTCCCTGTCCCACCTCCCTCGGTCATGATATACAACATCTCCAACAACTTCCTATCTGGGGAAGTTCCAACATCCATTTGTGAACGGAGATCTCTTGCAGTGCTTGATTTGTCCAACAATTGTCTGAATGGCACACTTCCTCCTTGTCTGGGTGGTATTGGTCCTTTGATGTTATTGAACCTCGCGAGAAATAAATTCGATGGCATGATCCCTCGCGTTAACCGAGATGATTGTGCATTGAGGATGATCGACCTAAGAGAAAATCGACTAAGAGGGATTGTTCCGAGATCATTAGGAAATTGCGGAATGCTGGAGTATTTGAATCTTGGTGACAACCAAATTAATGATACATTCCCATTTTGGCTATCGGAATTGCCCTACCTAAAAGTCATTGACTTGCGGTCCAATAAGTTCCATGGTCCCATAGAAGGTCATCTAAGCCATCTTAACTTCACCAATTTGCACATCCTAGACCTTTCCAACAACAGCTTCAATGGTAAATGTAACAGTCTGAATTTTCGATCCTTTTCCCGGGATTTAAGAAATGAATTTGACCAATGCACTATAGTGAGATCTCACCCGGGACCCGCGCATTGTCGGGATGCTAACCTTAGGGGTAAGGCTATTACGGGATTGAGTTCGCACGACCAAAGAACTCGACCTGGGTTCGATCTTCGACCATATGGATTGACGAGGGAATGTTTTGAGCCAACCGAGACCGGTCTATTTGATTGATCGTGTCCGAAGGGCACTAGTGACAGACCCTCGCAATTATATGACAACCGAGGTTGTCCCGGGTAGAGTAAACTTAAACGTGATTTGACTTGGTGTCGGTCACGGGTCGAGAGCGCGTAATCCCAATGAGCCACCCGTTAGCCAAAGATAAGCTAAAGTCGTGATTGTTCAATTCTAGTCATTTCTTGGAATTCGGGCCCGGGAATCGAGAATTTTGAAAGTGACAATTTTGAGCGGCCGATGACGTTTTTGGCTTGGCCAACCTTGGGGCCACCCATTTCTGCAAAAAAATGGATTTCGGTTCAGGGCCGGGAAAATTATGATTTTGCCCCTCTAGACCCCGATGTCGATTCTGAGGTCGTTTGAGGTTATTTTTCGAGGCCGATGCCATTTTGGGGTGGCCACGGACATTTAGAGTGGTTTTGGTCAAAAATTGGAATTTCGACAAAAATTAGAAAAATAATATTATTTTATTCCCGGAACTTTGCAGTCAATTTTTGAGGGCTTGCACGATGAATTTCGCGATTCCGACACCACATTATGTTGGCCACGCACATATGGAACACGTATGTGCAAAAATTGGAATTTCGCCCCGGGACCGGAAAAATGACGGTTTTGCCCCTGGGCCCGTTTCAGTTCCGAATTTTGGGAAATAATTTGGGATGGATAATTATCAGCTGCATTATTAGGGGCCAAAGACGATATTACCCCTCAATTATTTGATCCTATCTCTTTAGAACCGTTAGATTATGGGTATTTTGGTCAAATCGCGTAGGATCGCGACACGTGGTGCCCCTAGGCCACTATTTTTGACCAGCTGACCCTCCTCTCTCTCTCTTCCTCCCCATTCTGGCCAGAACCCCCACGATCAGCTTTTTTTTCTCTCTCTCACTCTCTCTCTCTCTCTCTCTCACTCTCTTCATCTTCATTTCCTCCCATCACCGCGTGTTGTTGCCGCCGCCGCCGCTTCGTTCCGCCCGTTTCAGCCTCCAATCCAGCCCGTTCGTCTCGCCTTTCTTAGGTAAGTGACCTCCCCAAATGTCGCCTAGGACCTCGGGTATTGTTAGGCTTGTTTAGGGCTCGGTTTAGGGTGAATTAAGTGGCTGGTTTGCTCGGTGGTGTGTGTTGGCTGATTTCTAGTTAGATTGCTGCTGCATCGCTGGTTTTTGTTATTTTTACTGTGACTTATGTGGCCCGAATTTGAGGAAGTGTTCTTCATGAAACTTGTTCCCAACATCTTGACGTATAACATATTTTAATTTGGGAATTTTTGGAAATCATTTGAGGCCATTCGGAAGCCCATCTTTGGACCGATACTGCCCGATTTACTGTTCACCCGACCTTCGGGTTTGTTCGAATTTTTATAAATTTTTCCAGGCCTATTTTCAAAATACTTCCTTCACAAAAGTTGTTGGGGACATTTGTGGCTATAACATATAAAAATTTCAAAGCTTTTAAAGGTGATCTGGATGTTGAAATAAATGTATTTTGAGGACAAAATGGTCTGTTTGAGCGAACTGATTTTGGTCTGACTTCGAGGGACAAAAAGGCATGGTTGCAAATTGAACCGGATTTTGTGTTCTTCATAAGAAATGTTGATCAAGATGTTTTTTATGACTTATCCAAAATTTAGAATTTTTGGAGTTCGGTTACTATTTATTTTGTTGGGATTTCGGTCACTGTGTAAACTGCACAGTTTTGACCCGATTTTATATATTCTCGGTTTTTCTCTCTCTCGAGAATTATTCGGTGTTATCATGGCATTTTGACGGGTAGTTTGATGCTTGAATGAGCTCGTATGTGTGATTGTGTGGCTGTGAGGTGTGGTGGCGTGATTGTGCATTGAGTTCGCGTGCCAAGCTTGGGTGTTTGTGTGGTGTTCGCGTGACGAGGTTGTGTAAATGTGAAATGTGTGTGAAGTGTGTATGTTTGGCAGTGTGTTTGTGTGGTGGCGTGGTACGTGTAGAGAGTGTGGAACGAAGGTTCGGATGTGTAGGATTGATTGGAAAAAGGTCCGTCCTGAGGCGTGTACGTTTACGCGGGACGATGCCGTCCCTGACGAGGTGACGATGCCTGGCCTGACGAGGTGTCGATGCCTGACGTGATCAGAAGACCGTTGGCCTAATGCGTTTTACGCGGGCGCGGTAGAAGGAAAGTGTGTGTAGGATTCCGTCCTGAGGCGTGTACGTTTACGCAGGACGATGCCGTCCTTGACGAGGTGACGATGCCCGGCCCGATGGGGTGACGATGCCTGACGAGGTCAGAAGACCGTTGGCCTGATGCATTTTATGCGGGCGCGGTAGTGATGGAAAGGCTGAGAATGAGCAAGAATTGGCGGGACGAGTGAAATTAAGAAAGTGGCGTGTGGTGTGAGTTGGTGTGCGAGTGTGTTTGTATCGCGTGGTGTGATGCTCGATTATGGGGTAAAAACTGCTAGGCATGGTATGGGACGTGCCCAAGTGGGTTTTGCTCTATAATCGGGGCACGCGCACGGCGGTGATGTATTTATGTGGCATACTAGCTGTGTGGTTGACTAACGTGCAGGGACGTGCATGAGGAATTCCAGGTAGGGTCGCATGTGATTGTTAGTTTGGCTGATCATTGTGTGTTATGTGTGTTTTCGTCTGGCGGTACGTGAGTGCCTACGTGGGGTTTGGGGTTGTACACTTATTGAGATTCGTCTCACGGTTGTATAACCGCCACTTTCAGACCCCCAGCCTTAGACCCGGGAAGTTTGCCTCCTCTTTTTGGAAGTTCGAGGAACCGCCTTTGGTGCCTGGTGGAATTGCAGGTGAGTGTCCGGAGGCTCAAACCCGAAGAATCAGAAGCAGAGCGGAAGGGCGACCAGTAGGCTTTCCCTAGGATATTTTAGGGGTTGTGTAAATCGGGTTGACCCATAGGGAAGTTAAGTTAACCAGACCTTGATCTTTTGTTAAAACAGTGGCGGAGTATGTTCGTCTGTATTTATGTCTGTAATATGATGTTTGTATGTTTGGTGCTATATGAAGATGTTGTTGTTTGATTGTTGTGGTGTTCTACCCCGTTGTCGTCATCTTTTTGTCCGGGGTTTTTATATCCGCTTCCGCATGTGGCTCTGATGTTTGGATTGGGTCGGCGACGTTCCTGGGACGTCGCATCATTTCGACCGGAGCAGGGGATGTTGCGAGCTCCTAGGGGTTCGGGGCGTGACAGTAAACTTCCTTCCAAGTTGTTACAGAGTTGCCATGCCATGAAGTTTATCGATGGTCAAGATAAGTTGGCATATATGAATATACATCAATGGATTGATATGTCTGGTTTCATACTCGATGGAAGTACGATGACTTATACGTTGACATTGATGAATAAGGGCACGAAAAGGGAATATAGGAAGATTCCATATATGCTTGTGGCAATTGACCTCTCTAGTAACAAGTTCGAAGGTTCCATTCCTGAACTCATTGGAGATCTGAAGTCTCTTCATATGCTCAACCTTTCAAACAACTTCCTCATTGGTAGCATCCCTCCTTCCTTGGCGAACCTGACAGTGCTCGAATCATTGGATCTTTCCCTAAACAATCTCACGGGAGCGATTCCCCATCAACTAGCCAACCTCACATTTCTTGAATTTTTCGATGTCTATCACAATCGACTATCGGGACGAATACCACATGGAACACAGTTCGACACATTCGAGAGCAGTTCGTTTGCGATGAATCAGGGGTTGTGTGGAAGTCCTCTGCCAAATAAATGCACAACTGGTGAAAGCGCTGCACCACCACCATCATCTTTCAAAGTAGATAATGAAGTAGAGTCTCTATTCGACTTGGATTGGAAAATCGTGCTGGCTGGCGCTGGAGTTGGGTTTTTGGTTGGTGTTGTGCTGGGGAACTTGATCATTGACCAGAAGAGTAGGTGGTTCTTGCACTACTCCAAGAGAATGGCAAAAGGATGGAAAAGGTGAAGAAATCTCTAGCAGACAAGAAAATATGCAGCCAGATACTTACTGCATACATGCATGTCTGAAGATTCTAATCTATGTTTGTTTGCATGTTTCAGTATACTATTATGGAGATGTTGTTTTCTTGCTCATGAAAGTTAGCTCTTTAGGTTCTTAGAGAACATCTCTGTCCATACATACCTCAGCAATCTCATAATGTTTTGTTGTTATAGTACTAGCCAAATGACTCTCACGGATATAGAGGATCTTACCCGGGACCTGGTTTATCTATCCATTTATTTTGAAAGCCTGTAGATACTACGATTTAGAGACGTAATTGAGATAAGTGGATACTAATAAGAAGCCAATTATTATACATGGTTGAGGATGACGTAGAAAGTTTTGTCATCCATGGAAACCAAGGAGATTGGTGTGAAATCTTCACGGTTCGTGAGTAGAAAGCGCCTTGAGTTATTTTCGTAGAGACTATCCACCTTAAGTTAAATGTAAATTTGTTAGCTTAAAGAGCATATAATTTGATGAGTGATTTAGTTTAACGAGTATAAATGTGAACATGAAATCTAACAAAATAACGATTTCAACAGAATTTTCTACAATTGAACATAATTAAAAGGATTATATTGGAATAAGTAGAGTAGTGAGCAAGGCCCATGGAAGTCCCCATCTCCATCCTCGTCCCATGCCTGCGAAGTGCGGGGGTTAGAGCGATAAAAAAAATCGATTATATTTGTGCCAGTTCTTTTAATAAGAATAACAAAAAAAAATAAGTACAAAGAGGAGAGATAAAAGGTGTTTATTCGTACCAATTGATGACACGAGTGAGATAGATTGAATCTGAACTCACAAACTTGTATTTAGAAGTAGGAATTACTAAGGAAATAGTTAATGATCTATAAGAATTCAGAAAAGACCTTTTCTTTCGGTGGATGGTGATCCACTTCGGATCCTGACGACATTGGAAAGAAGAGAAACAAAAAGGTACATGAAAAGGGTGCATTGCCACATTTAGTGGCCCCAATCATTCCAAGTCGTTATAAACAGTGGAGGAAGTCGCACGAATTTCACGTGCTTAAACGACTCGTGTCGTGAATCACGTATATTTGGCAAACACGTTGAGATCCTTGTATTTAGGAGTATCCGCAAGTGAATTACTCGATCAGCCTATCTCGAAGATACGGTTGACATATATTCGCTCAAACTACGCGCTATGATCTTAAAAAAGGGTATGTCAGCATTTTTTGTTAGCCTTGGACAGAGTTAACGAAAGGACTCGATTGCACCAATTTGACAGGTTTTAGGACTTGATTGCACTTTTTGTAAGTTTAAGAACTCAATTACACTTCCGTGATAAGTTTCGAAACTTCCGGTGCACTTATCCCATTATAATTAGATATCATTTATGTCTGTCTTCTTGTCAACTGTTATGAATCCCAAGATCACAGCGAAGATTACCCTTCAAAATAGCACAAGCCTCCACATCCTGCATGGCTAAGTAAATCCTGAATGCACTATGTCAATATGGGTAAGGGACGACGATGCTCTATCTACACAAATCTCATTTGGTCTCATAACAAGTCTCAATTGTCAATCATTACACAAAACTAGTCAAGTTGCATTGTCTGTAGTATATGTCCTCCCAATGGAGTCATTATGCAAAAGGTCTTTAATTACATCTAAAACAGACGAATAAGTACCAAACTGTAGATGTTGTTCCTTTGCAAGCAGGGCCAAAGCATCAGTGCAACCTTTTGTTTCTTTGAATATGTGCTCAATTTTGTATTCCCGCAGCTTCGCGGGCAAGTTCTTGCATTCAGCCAGAAGAGGTTCCATCAGCAAATTATGCCTATGAGTGCCCCTAATTGCTTTGAATAACAGACACGGTATCAATTTCAATGTGTAAATACTAATTCTAGTCTAAGGCCATCTCATAGCGCCACATTTCTGCCGCGATGTGTTCACTGTCCTTCGGAGCTTATATAGCTCCTGAGAGATTTATGCTTGTCTGTAATTCATCAAAATCACATATATTTTGTCATTATTATTATATAAAACTAGGTGGTGATATATGGGTTTCCAACTTGCAAGAATTCATTTTGTCTTTCAACACAAGTCCGAGACAGCTAACAAGGTAGTCGATGCTTTCAGCCGCAAAGAGAATATAAGTAGGCGTAGAGGATATTGGGAAAGATCCCACATTAGATTAACTGCTTGAGGAGTGCCGGCTTCAAATCTGAAAATATTTTCAATCAATAATTTCGATTGTGTGTGTGTGTTTTTTTTCCTTGTGATTCAAGGACTAGAAATGCTCTAAAGAATTACAGAATAACTTCCGTTGGTCAATCTAAAAGAGAGGCAAAAGCCTTTTGGCAGGTCTTACAATTTTGATTTTTCTGTGGAAAAAGTATGAGGACCATTTTAGTGGACCAACTACGCACCTATGATTGCACATGAACCATCAATCACGGTATGCACGAGAATTCAACCTAATGTGTACCTTGTGGATGTATGACCAGTTTTTCCCTTTAGAAAAGGAATAGCCTATTTGCTTATAACTCTTGACATTAGTTTAAAAAACAAAAGAATAGTGAGATTCAAGCAATATGTTGAAAATATGAAACATCTATGGCAAGACATATATACATAGTATGGTCGATCGTAATCGTCACTTTGTCAGTTCCTTAGTCTTTTATGTGGATTGTTGATTCATTTACGGGAAGCTATAAAAACAGTGACCTATCAAGGAGTCAAGCAGCTAAACCAATTGAATATGCCTGTTATTTATGCCCAAAATATCTAAATTTGTCTATTGTTTGTTTTAGGTGATATCTTAAGTCAGATTTCACATACTGGTTAAATTGCTTCTTTGATCTGGTTGGAGGTAGGTCATTGACAATCAAACAGAAGAGTTCATAAAGGATTACTCTTTAGGGCTAGGTCTTAGATCGCATCTTATCGCCCTTAATTGATTTTTCTCATCGAGGAACTTGAAAGATCAAGGATTAAGGATTAAACTCTTGACAGCCATGAATGACAATGACCCTACTTATGTGAAGATGATAAGTCATCCAAAGAAAAAACAAGCCCGAAAGACTTAGACATTTTGCTTTAGTCACCCCTATGTGTCCTTTCACATGGAATTTTGGAGTGGCTAATAAGAAGCCCCAGAATTCCTATCCACAGAAGTTGCTAACTAGGAAAGCTATGGCGTTACAATCTCCTCTGCCTCTTTTATTACATACGTGCTCCAATAACAACACCTCCCCACCCCCCCCAAAAAAAAAAAAAACAATAGACAATATCATGTCACCGTCATTAGTGTTCATGCTTTATACTTGGGTCATTTTGATGTCGGTGTGTCATACGTGCTTTGCTAATCAAATGTGTCATGCGGATGAGAGCTCGGCCTTGATATGATTAAGAGGAGTCTCAGAATCAAAAGAGCATATTCTCATAGTGTTTATCCTAAAAAGAGGTTCCATCTGTCACGCCCCGGACCCCAACGGGCTCGCGACACCCCTTCAACGGTTGTATTGAACGCGACGTCCCAGGACGCGTCGCCGACCCAAACGAAACACCCAACGATAAAGGCAAGCGGAAGCGAATTTAAAACAACCCAGACAATAAAATATGACAAAGGGATAGCACAAAACAATAATTCCAAATACACAACATCAAAAGGGAATAGTGGTGGGGTATCCTACTTCGCTATACAAAAGAGGGGCACACAAAATATGGGGTAACTTGACCCGTCCTCCATCCCCGAGATACCCTGGTGGCGTCTCCAATCAATCACGGTCGCAGATCTTAAAATGGTTATATAATAACCGTGAGAACGAGTCTCAATAAGCAACCCCCTATACCCCACATAGGCCAATGCGTACCCAGACAAGTCTAAACATGCAATCTAACTATCCACATAACAAATTTCACATAATGTACTTACCTTGCCTCAAATCACACGCCATTTCTGCACATTAGTCAAATCATGGTAATTCAATAATATCCCGAGAATATAACACAATCACTCGAGCACCAACCACACTTGCACTCAACCAATCCAACCAAACATCCACACGTACATTCAACCAATTCAACCACACACATTACACACACGTGTCCAACCAACTATCCACGACCCGCGTCAACGCGCCTCAGGTCCATTCTCACAGCCCGCGTAAACACGCCTCAGGCCCAATCACACGACCCGCGTAAACACGCCTCAGGTCCATTCTCACAGCCCGCGTAAACACGCCTCAGGCACGATCACACGACCCGCGTAAACACGCCTCAGGTCCATTCTCACAGCCCGCGTAAACACGCCTCAGGCCCGACTTTCTTTCCAATGACCCGCGTAAACACGCCTCAGGTCCAACTTTCCTTCCACAGCCCGCGTAAACACGCCTCAGGCCCGACTTTCTTTCCAATGACCCGCGTAAACACGCCTCAGGTTCAACTTTCCTTCCACAGCCCGCGTAAACACGCCTCAGGCCCAACTTTCTTTCCAATGACCCGCGTAACCTACGCCTCAGGCCTAACTCACCTTTCACAGCCCGCGTAAACACGCCTCAGGCTCAGCCCTCCGATCGATCCGGGCTTTTCTCATGCACATGCACCACAATACAAAATTCACCATGCTCTTAGTCATATAAATCAATTTCAATCACCACCATTTTACCAATGTCAATCTAGCACGCCACATCAGTCAACTCAATTCATGCTCCCCACATCGGTCCACCGATCCGACATTCAAGTCAACACATTCAATAAATTCCAATTCACCCACAAGCGTCACGACAATTCAGTCATGCTATTTACCTCAGTCAATCACTAAATTAGCCACACAATTATCACCACAATAATTCATCAATTGGGCACACTCAATCTAATTAGCCCATGCCTAAATTAATTCCTAACCCGATATTAATCAATCCTAAACAAGTCTAAAAATACCCAAAGTACTAGGTAGGGTTTAGGAAGTCACTTACCTAAGTTTGGCCCGGGAA